TGAAGAACTTTCAGAAGATTCTATTACATATTTTACAACTTTTGTTAAAATCACAATCTCCATATCACGCTGTGTTTGATCCATAATTATCTATGAAACTTGTTTATCTTAACCTCCACAATACTGAATATTTCTACTGCGAGTCCGTTCCGTTATTGATTGCATTACAAGCTGAAAAGCAGCATCAGTAATTACAGAACGGATCCGCAGTTCTACTTTATGACGTCATACTTTCAGTACTGGCAGTTAATTTCGGAACGCAGCCTGTATACAATGGTATAACACTTTCAACATAGTCCTTGCAACGAGAACGTGGAGTCAAATTTCTATTAAGAGTCCTTAAAAATATATCATCTTCTTCGCTATTTGAAGAACTTTCAGAAGATTCTATTACATATTTTACAACTTTTGTTAAAATCACAATCTCCATATCACGCTGTGTTTGATCCATAATTATCTATGAAACTTGTTTATCTTAACCTCCACAATACTGAATATTTCTACTGCGAGTCCGTTCCGTTATTGATTGCATTACAAGCTGAAAAGCAGCATCAGTAATTACGGAACGGATCCGCAGTTTTACTTTATGACGTCATACTTTCAGTACTGGCAGTTAATTTCGGAACGCAGCCAATATTGTTTTCACGTCAGCGTTCACAAACCAAATCGAATGAATGAAAATAGCGCTTATAAGCGTGAGCGCTTACAGCGCGTGAACGTCCAAAGCGAACGCACCCCTAGTCTTGTAAAGACTCGGACGTGAATGCAGAGTCGCTGGCGCGATAAAAAACTAAGTCTTGTACGGCTTAGAAGCGAACGTGACTCGCGTGAGGAATATCACAAACGCGACGGCGACTAAGTTCCTGTACGGACATAGAAGCGAGCGTGGCTCACGTGAGAAAGTCGCGGGTGCGACGGAGACTAAATCCTGTACGGACTAAGGGTGCGTTCCTTTATTTACTGCGAGTACTGTCAGTACTACAACAGCGTTCCGAAATAGGTTACAGTGCACTGCGAAAGCAATTCGACGAGTTTGTGACGTCATGAATTTCGATGTCACTTCCTGTTGTGACCACTGCAGCCGGCGAGGTAAAGTAGTTGCAGTTCAAGATGGCGAGTTACATTGAAATAACCTTACTCGATGCTGAAACCAACGAGGCATATAAAATAGTTGTTAGTCCAGAAGACGCTAAAAGAGCTGAAAGTGGTAAAAGAATTAAATTTTTTTAGTTAACCTTGTGTTAAATTAAATTTATAAATATTCCGCGTGATCTTTTATATTAATATTTAACACGTATGTAACTAACTTATTTTCTCTTTAAATATATATTATATCGTTTATTTGCTACAACAATGACAACTAAAAAATTACGATTAGCCAAAAAAAACTGTAACCAGTAAAAGTATAAGTGAAAATCGTTTTTTTTTTTATAGCAATAACCAAAATGTCAAAATTTAGAATTATATCATTGTTGCAGCTAATGAGTAAGATAATCTTTAGCACAAATTTATAACTGTAAAATTAAAAGTATTTAGGACTTTATTATCTTTATTTTCATTTCAGATTTAGAGTTTGCAACAAAATTATTGGAACGTGCAAGAAGTAACAGTAAGAAAAAAACTATTTTAAACACTATATTAACTATTATATACAAATTTTGTTTGCTCTAAGTGTTTAATGATAAGTTAGATGTATTAATTAAACTGTTATAACTTAGATTCTCCTTAATTTTAAGTTATCTTGATCCCTCTGTAGGAGACAGAAGCAATATTAATAAAATTTGCGATTACTCAGTATTAGATGATAACAAAGAAAATGATAATATTAAAGATAAAGGTGAGTTAAAATAAATATAATTATTTATTGTCAATAAATTTGTCATCTGTCCACATACCGACTAATATTCAGGGTTGGTTGCAATTGGGCAACGGCTTTAGTTTTCCTCCTGACGAAAGATACACTCTTATAAAATTTATAAAACATCTTGAGAACAACGAAGTCATTCAGTAATAATGAGAAGAAGAACGTGAGGAGTCTCTATTCCCATTTTACGTGACATTAAATTATATATACCATCTTTATATCATGATAATAAACTTCTCCTTCACACTTACAGAGCAGCCAAATCATTTGCCAAGTCGTTCCCTGATTTGTTATTTACTAAAGCTGACAAAGGAAATGTCACTGTTCTGGACAAGGACGTTTATGTTAAGATGTCACAATTGGAGGATACTAATACATATCAAGTTGTCAAAAAGGATCCCACTAAGAAAATAATAACTGAGCTACACAATATTTTAAAGAGATGGAAGAATAAGTCTTATATTGACAAGTCTATTTTTAGGTTTTTGTAATCAAGTGATGGCATTCTCCCTCGTGCTTACGGTTCTCCTAAGATACACAAAGCTGACAACCCTTTAAGGATTATTGTTTCATCTATCAATAGTCCTTTGTATAACTTGGCCTTGTTTTTACATAAGTTAATTTCTTCTAATATCCCGGCGGCTAATAGCAAAATCAAAAATAGCTTTGATCTGGTTGGATCTCTTGCAAATTTATATGTAGAGGAACACTTTAAACTGTTTTCATTGGATGTGGTATCATTGTTCATCAATATTCCTCTTGAATTAGCAATGAATGGTATTTTAAGAAAGTGGTGTTTTTTAGAGACATTCAGTAAAATTCCGAAGGAAGAATTTATTTTAGCACTAAAATTTGTTCTCAATTCTACTTATTTCTGCTTTAATGGCAGGATTTACAGACAGACCTTTGGCAGTCCGATGGGTTCTCCTCTCTCTCCTGTCATAGCTGACATAGTTCTCCAAGACCTCGAGGAAAGAGCACTTCAAAGGATACAGATCCCTTTATTTTGTGGACGACATTGTTTTAGCTGCTCTAGAAACTTTTGTTGAAAACATTTTAATTGTTTTTAATTCTTTCCATCCACGCCTTTAGTTTACGATGGATTTGGGCGAGAATGGAAAAATTAATTTTTTGGATACCTCTATAGAGATCGTTGATAACAGACTCAGGTTTGATTGGTACCATAAGCCTACCTACTTTGGCTGCCTACTCAATTTTAATTCTTTCCATCCACTACAGCACAAAATTGGTACAATCATAGGGTTAGTTGATAGAATCATTTTTTTAAGCCATTCTGCGTTCCATGAAAGGAATTTTGCGTTTGTCATCCGCACTTTAGTACAGAATGGTTATCCCACTGATTTTATTTTCAGAATCTTTAAAAAACGTGTTTTTGGATTAATCGACAAAATGAATACTACCATCTAGTGAGGCTTTGGCTTCCTCAGTTCCCTCTCGGTGTTATTGCATCTTTCCATATATGGGGAGAATATCTGATAGATTTAGTAAAATCTTCAAAAAATTTAATAATGTTCAATGCTTTACTGTTATGAACAAGCTTTCTGGTTTAGTTCGTGTTCAGAAGGACAGACTTCCTCGAGATCTCCATAATAATGTTGTGTACATGTTTGAATGCAATGATTGTGACTCTTCTTATGTTGGTCAAACAGGCAGAAGGCTTTCCACACGTATGTCTGAGCATAAACGTTTACCTAAGGATCTTATATCACAACTCTCTGTTGTTCAGGAGCATCGTATCAGGTGTGGTCATGAATTTGAATGGGATAGTATAAGAATTTTACATAAAGAATGCCTTTTTTATAAAAGGATGATTGCTGAAATGATTTTTATTAAAATGCAGGCACGCAGGCTAAATTCTCAGACTGATACTGAAAATTTAGGTAAATGTTATAATACGTTACTTGATTTGACTTCATTTGTTTTTCGTTTACATTTTGACTAAGTAAATATAAACACATTGTTCTGTACTGCTTGTGGCATTCGGAGGTATATGCTTATTAACTTAACATCACCACTCTTCCTGGAGCTCTAAAATTTCTTTTATTGAGGTATTTAATTTCTTTGTTTTCCTCGGGCTTAGTTCGGTTACTCTATTTTAACACGTATTTTCTGTTAATTACACCATAGCACCTTAGTACGTACGATGGAGTGACTGATCTCACAATAAGATTTTTACTGACTTATATTTACAGTCTTCCAAAGAGAGGTTTCTTTATCCTAAGGATAAATTTTATTTGTTTGCGTTCGTGCTTCCGATTGCCGTAATCAAACTTTGTATCGAAAATTTTGTGTAATAACAACTCTTATAATACTGACGATTTGCGACCTTATGTTTGACATTCTTATTATTTCGAACAGCCTTAGGCGGTGAGCGGCTAGTTCAGATGCCGTCGAACGCTCGTCGACTGCTATCATCAATTGCGCGAGTATAAGTGCGTGCTCTCCTATCCAGGAGCCCCGTAAGATGGTGTGGGGAAAGTACGAGAGTGCTCTTGTGTATAAGAGCACGGCGTGACCCAGTGAAGGACACGCGGGGGATTGCCCGGCGCCTCCGCGCTGGGAAGGATTCCCCCTTTCGGAGGATAATCACTCAGAGTGTGGAGACTTATCCGTCTTCCTTGTGAGTGTCGAAGCAAAGTCCGACTAAGATTCAGCTCCGGTGGGCGAGGAAGCAACAGAGGCTGAATCTAAGATGTTAGACTGGCGAACGTTGCTCGCCTGAATAGTCGCACACGCGGCGAATGCGATGTCTCGTAGTGAAAGCCTAAACGCGAACGTAACTCTGAATCGCGTACGCGGCCGAGTCGTAGTTTGACGTTAACGTACATGTAACCGTAGATATGCGGTGAGTGTACCGCGTGCGTGACGAATGCTAATTCTCGTTGAGCCGAGAAGCGAATATTCCTCGCATATAGAGTCGCGGATGCGACGACGTAGAAGTCTTGATTAGACAGGCCCGCAATCGTGTGGCGCGAGAGCGCGGTGCCCCTGGCAGGGAAGTAATAGCGAGCGTGGCTCACGTGAGCGCTGCGTGTCTCTGGCAGCAAAGCTCTCGAAGAAAACTGACTCGCGCGGAGTCATGAGCGCCCGACAGTAATAAGTTCTGTCGGCACGAATACCCGGTATAGGTAATACGGGAGATGTCGCGAAGAGAGCGTCCACTGCGGTGGAGGCGTCAAAAGTAATCCGAAGTGGTCGCGCGAAGCCTTCTCTCAATCCTAGATTGTATTGAGAAGGTGGAGATCCGTGGAGTTACCCATATACTTCGTAACACAGATGCCAACGTGTCCTCGGACACTCTAGAGGCAATAGCCCAACGTGCAAACGCACTCTAAAGGCTGTAGAGAGTTGTGTAGAATCATCGAAGACCTAAACACAAAATGCCAACGTGTCTACGACACTCTTAAGGCAGTGAAGATCGATACAGATATTCAAAACGTATACCTCTGACAAGGCAAGTGCCCAACGTGCCTGCGCACTCAAGAAGGCGATATAAAGCTAACTAGAACTTAAAAGAATACCTCAATGAGGCAGTGACCTAATGTGCAATCGCAGTCAAAATGCTGGCAAAAGCCTCGAGTTATCTCGCGCGGCGCCTTATATAGGCGCCCAAGCGAGAATTAACTGCGAGAAGCAGCTCTGGCTGACGTGCTCGCCGCGTCGCGGCGACGGCGCGCACTAGCGGAAGGAGGCCGGCGACCGCGAGTTGAGCGGCGCCTAGGGCTCAGCCGCCCGCCGTACACGCTCCGCACAGACACCCAGCTGCTGTCCGGAACACTTATGAAATCTAATTTGTTTCTTTTATTGTAATCACTGAAGATGGTCTGTAAAGTCTGTAAAGACCGAAACGCGTATGATTATTTGATTATTAATAAATTTCTTCTCATTTGAGATTGGGTCACTATTTTTAATAGTTTAAATAGCACTATGAGAACTGTGCTTTAACTCTTATTGTCCTTGTTTAATATTGATTATCTTTTTTCGGTTTTCCTATTACGTTCGATCTTACAGCTATTTATTGATTGTTATAACAAAAGGAACATTTCCAGACAATTTCACACGTTTACTGAATTGTATTACACATGCGTTGTAGTACAGATCTTTTTACTTAAATGTATAACGCATAAACTTTTGGCATGTGATTTCTCGTTTTTAACGTTATCAAAGAACTCCAAAGCCTTAACAAATCATCGACATAGCGCAGAGTTCTAGTCAAATATTTCGTGTTTCAAAATAGCAAATACTACCCATGTAGGGTTGCCAGTAATAACAACAAAGTCAACGCTTGACCGAAGCTATGGCACCCAACTATCGGCCAGAATTCTGTCAGCCAGTACTGGCCCAATGCTAGCAAATGATTGGCTGCCGAAGGCCTTCGGCCACCAACGTTTGGCCGACGTTTGGCGGCTAACCGTCGACCGGACTTCTGTCAGCCAGTATTCAGCCATTACTAGCAAAAGAAAGAATGCCGAACGCCGACACTCGGCCAACGTATGGCATCTAATCGTCGGCCGGACCTCTGTTAGCTAGTATTTATTAATTACTGGCAAATAGAATAGTACTTAGAATAGTATTTGTTAGTGGCAGTTATTAATTCTTTTTTTGACTAGAATTCGTTTTATTACATATATTTTATACTTCTTATACCGTTTTTTCGGAGAAAAATATTTCTTTAAATTTAATATTCATATTTGTTTAATTTTGGTTTGTTTTATTAAAATATTATATTCTTAAACGAAATATCATTTTTTAAAATGATGAAAATAAAAAACATTTATTTTGTCCAAGAAAACCATGTCATTTGATGAAACAAATTGTAAAACTATTATTTTAAATAGTATTCTTTAAAAATTTCTTTCAAAATTTAATAATTCAATTTGTATGATTTGAATTTTCTTGGATCTTTTTATTTTTTTTTGTTTAGATTAATCATTATAACATTTTGTTAAAAATCTAAAAGTAATTATCACTGTTTCACTATATTATATCAATATCCATTGTATATCGAATGTTATTGTATTGCTTCAATATTTATTAATAAATTATGCAACAAACACTAAATAAAAGTTATATAACTGTTATTTGGTATTTGTTAGGTATGTTATAATATACTGTGAACACTATAAGAATAAATCATATAGGCATAAATTGTAAAAACATCGTTGGAGTCATTGGAATCGCATGCCGCTCGATCGTCAGGTTAAGTAACACTTCAACGCAGTCAGAACATGGATGGTGATCGCTTGGGATCGAAATTATCGAAAGAGGATTCGCGAAAGTTCGGAGCGTGTTGTTAACAATCTTTGGTTCCTAGTGGTTTATGAGACATGAGAAAATTAAAAATTATAAATATATTTTTGTATAATATTATGATTTTTTCACAGTATTACAAATCTGACGATCAGTACTGTCTAAGTACAGAACCGATTGTACTGTCAATGCTGGGGAAGTACTGGCTAACAACGGTTGGGCCAGTACCATTTGCCAGTACTGGGCCGAAGTTACAATCCGATTATCTACCAGTACTTTTTTAGCGCCAATAGTTTTTTCTAGTGTTACGCCAGTACTGGAACTCCGACAACAAGTATTGGCCCAGTACTGGACCAATTGTAAAACCCTATATGGGTTGTTGTCAAAAAGAGATTGGCCGCATTAACAACTGCATACACACTATGTATATATAGTTGTTAATGCGGCCAATCTCATATCTATGATGAAATGATTCGTTAACTCGATTTATAATCATATTACTCAAACAAACATTTTACATAAACATTAATTTAAAGATTACGAGATGAATAAATTGAAACAAGTGAAGAATGCAACATTACTGAAAAGAATACGTATAATTAAAGCGATACAACAATATGTGTGGAAAATAACTTGAGATCGTTGCGCGTATATGCGGAAAGATTAAAAAACGATACATTTCTATTATCTATTATCTATATGTGTGTGCAACAGGGAAATTACATTGTAACAGGGTTGGGAAGTAACGCGTTACTTGTAACGACGTTACTATTTCGTTACTTTTTTTTGGTAACGATTTGGTAACGCCGTTACTTTTTTGTATAAGTAACGGCGTTACATTTTCTTTAGTAACGAGTAACGAAATTCATCGTTACTTGTATCGTCGAAAGAAATTGGAATTTTTGTCGGCATAAAATTTTTAGGATTTAAAGAAATGTTTGCCTTCAAAAAAATACAATGCAAATGTATTTTATTGCATGTTGATAATAATTACAATGCAGGGTTGGGAACGTTACTTTTTAAAAGTAACGCGTTACCGTTACCGTTACTTGCGGTAAAAAGTAACTGTTAGTAGTAAAAGTAGTTGATATGTCGCAAATCCGCGAAAAAAAATCGAAAAAAATCCTTTTATTATGTGCCTTATCAAATGTGCCTTTTCAAATCTTACTGTTAGTTAATCTATTCAAGGAGCTTTCTATAATTTCGGTTTATGTTAAGCATTGGCAGAAAGAATATGCTATCTCTCTCGTATACTAACATCTCTTACGAGATCGACTCTTTCTTTCTCTCGCAACTTACATTTTAGAGAATTTATAAACATTGTGTTGCGGGATTACTGTCGAAGCCTCGGTGGCCGAATGGAAAGGCGTCCCGCCCGGAAAGTGGGGAGGTTACAGGTTCGAGTCCTGGTGGAGGCAGTTTTTTCGCAACATATACATAATGTATATGTATAATGAATATATTTGATTCATCGGTTTAATAGGATTTGGGAATTAAAAAAAAAATATATATATAAAAATTGGGACTCAAGGATCGGTCTAAATATGGAAGGTTGATTCTCCGCGTACGATAATCGAAGAAAAATTTCGATACGTGCGTTTAACATGTTGAATAATTTTATCCTCCCACTATCATATTAATATTAAAAAGTAATATTAGTATTTAAAGCACTAAGACATCCGTGCTTGCTCCTTATGTGCCTTTTCAAATCTTACTGTTAGAAAAAAAAATCCGTTTTCTTTTACATTGCAGAAGAAAGTCTATATTTTACGATAATTATCATGAAATTTACGATAAAAGTTTATTCGTTCACGTAGGATACGTCAAATTGTGCAATTTTTTTTGGAGACGTAACACGTCTTTACTTTTGAAAAGACTTTGGGAAGGGGAGAGAATAAATTCAAAATACGACAAATGCTTCTTAAAGTACAGATTTCATTATTTAAAAAGAAAAGAAAAAAGATTTCAAATACGATCATGTTTCGTAGTATTATGCTCATTTAAAATTATGCTAAATTTGGACATAAATTTACCTATACGATAATTTTGTTGACGAATGTACTTAGCCAAAGCGTGTTACGCTTTTTGTAAGAATACGATGGAAAAACACCTGTTCTTGGCGTAACTATTTGACGATAGATTATGATGCATGTCTTCTATCGTAATTATACGTACAAATCAAATATCGTTCGTACACAATCGAGAACGATAGGTTTCCTTTATACGATAAAGTATTTTGAGTTTCTTCCATTAATTAACCACAAATCCGTTAATACACCACAAATTATGACAGATTTCCAGTGATTTTTTCATGATAAATTCCAACAAAACGATAGAATACAAGTCTCTAAGAATTTTATCATAATAACGATTTAATACTCTTCTAACAGAGCACGATTTCATTTTTTGCGGATTCGATACATGCAAAGGATACGATAGAGAAACAATTACGATAGAGAACAGTTAGATTCTCTACAAATCCTTTCAGTTTCTATCGCTTTCTTTCTTTCTATTTTTTTTTTAATCACAGGAACACATTACGGTTTTAATGTGAGCTGTCTTATAAAATAATCTTCTAAATGTAATCGCGCGCTGTCGTTTTTCTACCACGACGTCGAGAAACCGAAAGATAATTATCTTTGGCCACACGATTTTGTGTTACTCGCCGCTCGTTGTGTCACCTCTACATATATGTATGCAGCCGAAGCGGGGACGCGCTTCGATTTGGCGTCGATTCGATACACGGGTATGTCACGCACATGTGTCAGTGTATCACGCTTCGCTATTCTCGTAGCTATGGGCGAAGGGACGCGGCGAGATACGATTCGCGCGTCACGGTCGCACGTCGGCCGAAGGCATTTTTCTTTCCGCTACCGCTTTCTGTATGCTGATTTGTTGAGACATAATAATTAATTTCTCAAAAACTATTACGAATATCGCAAAACAGCACAGGACTTTCTTGCTCATCTCAATCTACGTTCTCACCAAGGGTCACCCTGTATAGGGTGTCCCGCATAAGACATGCCAAAAGAAAAATATAAGTAGAACAGATAAAAGTGAACAAAAATTATAGAAGTCATTTTTCAAACAACCACGTAAAATTCCGAGATATTAATTAAAATAGTTGGATATATCAGAGCGCGGCGTCGCGGCAGGCGAAAAAAATTCACGATTGCTCGCAGGTCTATCTTATAGGCCAGAGAAGTGGGCCGTTTGGCATATGAAAATGGGTAGCTCTGTATATACCTCCGTATACGTGTGCGCTCGTCCATTTCCTTCGCCGGCCGCAGCAAGCCATATGCCCCGCCTGCCGCGTCGCCGCCCTCTGATACGTCCAACTATTTTAATTAATATCTCGGAATTTTACGTGGTTGTTTGAAAAATGACTTCTACAATTGAACAGGCTAGCCTATCATGCCGATGCTATAGCGCGTACAGCGTTTGTCTCACCGCAGCACACGTTCTGATTGGCTAGTCGGGTGCCGCTTGATAGAAATCTTTTATCGTTAATATTTTAAAATTTTACGTGGTTGTTTAAAAAAGGATACTGATTTTATTACTCACTTCGACCTATTCTACACTGAGAGAAAAATTATCTTAAAACCAACAAATATTTCCTTGGTGGGTACCATTAACATATT